TATCCGTATAAAATTCACCTGGTACAAGAACTTAATGAAGACGATTTTGATCGGCGATTACAATTTTTTTGAAGATATTGTATAATTATAAACGATGAACATTTTCTATTCAACACTTGCTTTTCCGACGAATGTTCCTCTTTCTTGGATGGTGTAGTAAATCGTCATAACTGCCGATATTGCTCCGATCCTAATCCCAGAATTTATCATGAGGTTCATACACAGCAGCCACAAAAATTAAATGATTGGGCTGGTATTTTTGGCGATGATTTAGTTGGTCCTTTTTTCTTTCCTGGAAATTTGACCGGTGAAATGTATTTGGAATTACTGGAAGACGCCATAGATCCTGCATTAACAGCCATAATTAAAAATCAGAATGATTGGCGGTACATTGCAAATAGGTTGATGTTCCAACAGGATGCTGCCCCAGCACATTACGAATTACGTGTTCGACAATATTTAGATCAGACGTTTCCAGATCGATGGATTGGTAGAAGAGGTGCCATTGAATGGCCCCCAAGATCGCCAGATTTACCAACTTTGAATTCCTTAATGTGGGGTCATTTAAAAAGCAAAATCTATGCTACGCAGCCAACATCATTAGAAGACCTGCAACAAAGAATTGTGAATGAGTGCCTTCAAATTACTCTTCAAATATTGCAAAATGTACGGCAACGTTTTGAGCAAAGTCTTTATTATTGCATGGAGAGTCATGGTGGCCATTTTCAACATTTACTTGCCTAACGGGTCAGTTCATTCTTCATTTTTAAATTACTTTGCTGCCAAATGTATTGATCTCCACTAATGATTAGTTTTATTTAAGCTTTAAATCAATAAATCTTCAAAACTACTGAACTGAAGTGCATTAATTTTATATCATTATAAAGGGAATTGAAAGACGTTTAAAATAAGGTATCACTTGACCCCCCTTTCCGTTTTTCAAAAAAAAAACTGAGCTGCCAGTAAATGCGTCTGTTTCGTTTTCGATGCGCCACCCTGTATATGTAACATATAAAGGAGACCAGATGATACAACCATATTTAAGTAAGCTTTTAACTAGAGTGAAATACAATATTTCTAATGATTCTATGTTAGTAAAAGATCTGCAATTTCTAATAATGAATCCAAGCATACGTGAAGCTGGTTTGTCTATTTGATTCAAGTGTGTTGAACATGACAGATCCGCAGTAATAGTAATGCCCAGGTTTTTTGCTTCCTGTACTCTGTCAAGTTGGTGATTGTCCAGCATATAATCATATGGTATGGTAGACTGTTTTCTGGTAATGGACATTAATTTATACTTGCTGGGATTAAGCATTAAACCATTATTCTGGCACCAGTCAAGAATGTTGCCTAAATGTTCCTGCAAAAGGTCTAAGCTCTCTTGTCCATGAATTACTGAGTAAATTTTTAAGTCATCCGCAAACATTTGGTTTTCCACTGTTATTATATATTATAATTTCTACTATTCGTCGTGGTTAGTCAGTATGGTTCAGTGGACTTTTGGCGTTATTTAAAAGTCGCGTCGGTTTGTTAGTCAGGTTTAGTTATCCAAATACAAGACAAGTTTGAGGGGGAAAGGGGGAGAAGGAATGAAAGGAAGGAGGCAGGAACAAAGCGAAGAAAAGAAGTAAATGAGTTGAAAAAGAAAAAACTTAATCATTATTGGTTTTTTTTGGAATCAAAACGAACGCAGCCAATGTGAGTATGTGTTGGTTGTTCATTGTTCTTTGAAATGTTACTGTCCAAGTCGTATCACTGATTACAAGCACCAACATTTGTAAGTACACCTGTCACACAGTTTGTAAAAAGTACTTGGCTACTCAAGCCAATAGCTTTATCTGCTTCATAATGTAATACATGTGTACGCGCCTGTGTGTGTGGTTCGAAACTCAATTGCCTTATTCCACGGTTACGGATAGTTACCATGTCCTTTAAGAGTTATTGTAAAAAAAGTTATACAAGCCTACTTGTAAACTTAACATCCCTCGTACTCAGCCAAACCTTAATACGAGTATATTCGATTGTGTACAGAATGCAACGAAAGGCCGATTATGCTGATACATCGGCCTGTGATATATAGGTATCAAAAACATCGATCGATCTCTAGTTACTAGAATAACATCTTAAGACTTGGGTTGTTGGGAGGAGTGTTTCTGACCAACCACACCTGTTTGGTGTATTTTTCAGGGGAATTGCTCACAGTATCTTTGGTTAGATGGTAGGAGATCTCAATGCATAAAATAAAAGTCTCCATGAGGCCAAACATTTTTTCACGAGTAATTTCTCCCTCCAGGTTCGGCAGTCCATATAATATTACAGAGTCTGTGGGTTCGGTACACCGGGGGAGGATCTGGAAATTTTATTTGGGGATGTCTATACATTTGAAAACTTCCCACCACGGATTTATCGAAAACCACTGTATAAAAAAAAAAACGCGAGACACGTCAAAAGGTTTGTCAAAAACTACTCCACGCCCTTTCCGCACTACCTCCCACAATCATCCGCTAAAAAAATTTTAAATGACAAGGGTATCGAGTAATAGCTTGTTCGAAGTTTCGAAGTCCTTTATTTTGACGCTTGATTTTTTAAAGTCGTTTTCAAGAAAATTAGAGAAATCTTTATCTTAATTTGTTCAGATAGAAAACAAAAACACACGAAAATATCATTTTCTATTTTAATAAGTGTCAAAATGTTGCCCGTTATTGGCCGAACAATGATACAGGCGGCGTTCAAATTCCTGGCGGACATTTTCAAAGACATGTTGTGGGATATCAGGACAATCTTCGATGATGCGCTGATGAAGTTCATCCAAACTTTCAGCTTGGGGAGTAAACACAATAGATTTCAAATGGCCCCATAGAAAAAAGTCTAATGGCGTCAAATCAGGAGATCTAGCAGACCATTCTATAGGCCCCCTTCGCCCTATCCATTTATCTGGAAACTCGACGTCTAGCCATTACCGAACTGGAAGAACATAGTGAGGAGGAGCGCCCTCTTGCTGGAAATATATTTCAGCCTCATCAAGTATAGGGTTTTCATCCTCTTCGAGTTGGTTTTCAATGATTTCAGTGATAAGCGGATTGATGGTATTTTCCAACATATCCAAATAAATGTCTCCATTCAAATTTCCATTAATAAACAATGGCCCAATCACTTTGTTTCCTAAAATGCAAGTCCATACATTAATTTCTTGGGGGAACTGGGTAAGCCCTTCTACAAAAGCATAAGGATTTTCATTGCTCCAATACATGCAGTTATGCTTATTAACAAATCCATTTAGATAAAATGAGCATTCATCACTGAAGCAGATATTCTATACATGAACGGTATTATCATTAATCGCTGCAGTCATTTCTTCACAAAACTCAACTCACCTATCGAAATCATTTTCGGTTAACTCTTGAAATATTTTCATTTTGAATGGATTAAGTTTAGGGATTTTAGTAATTGTGTACACAGAGCCTAATGAAACACCAGTCGCAGCAACAATTTTGCATTATGAAGTATTAGGATTTATTCCAAAATGACCCAAAAATCCACTTGAGCGGCTTCATCCAAAACTCTCCAATGATCACGTTTTTTATTTGCAACTGATTCAGTTTGAGTAAATTTAGACACAAGGTCCAAAACACAACTATGCGAAGTTATCTTCCCCGGACGGCAAATTAAATTCTTCCTTACCCTTAGCAATTAGCAACAATTAACTACACAGGTATAACAATAAATACAGTTCGCCGTGTTGATAAAAAGAATGCGGACAAAAATTCGGGTTGTTATTTGGTTGTTGCCACGTCTAATCTTCCAAATTGCTGTTTATTTTCGTAGTTTCCATTTTAAAATATAAACGAATTGTAGATTTAGCAAAACCTAACGGGAAACATTTTCAGCACTTATTAAAAAAAGTGATTTTGTCGTGTGTTTTTGTTTTCTATCTGAACAAACTAAGATAAATAAATATTTTTTTAATTTTCTCGAAAACGAATTGACTGATTTAAAAAAATCAAACGTAGGACTTTCGAAGACCTTTTGAAAAAACCTATTACTCGATACCCCCTGTCATTTAAAATTTTTAACGGAATGACCCTGGGGGACCGAGGGTGAAATCGGGTAAAGTAGTTTCTGGTTAAAAAGTTGTCCGCCTCCCTTGACAAATCTTTTGACGTGTATCGACGTTTTTCTTTTAATCAGGGGTTTTCGATAAATCCGTGGTGGGAAGGTTTCAAATGAACAACCAGTATGACGAATTTGAAATTACCCGCTTGAAAAATCAGTTCGTTGGAATGTTACTGTTCAAGTCTGTTTGCTTGCCTTGTTGGGAGTGGTTTCTCTGACCAGTCTCACCTGTTTGGTCTTTGTATTTTTCAATAGAATTGCCCACACTATATTTTGTTAGATGATGGTCAATTCTTGATATGGTCTTCACTATTAAGGTATATTTGAGAAGATTAGCGCTTTTGTGTGTCTGGACTTAAATCCAAATAATTGGATTGAGGTGATTGGCTACCTATAAGCTTACCTAAGGTAGAGTTCACAGGGTATTGAGGAGAGAAAAAATTTCAAACTGATGATTCTCCTTCAATACCAACCTAAATCGTGTGATTTACCATGTTGATATCTAAAAGCTAACCAGCTAGAGTGATTTAATGAATAACTCCTGTTTTCACAAAGTTACGAATATAAATCATACCTTTGACGGATGATTTTTCTAACTTCATGGAAACAGGAGGTAAAACATAAGTATAAGTTGATACCTAGCTTGCCTTTTATGGCCCTACGTATGTGGTTGCATAGATTTAGATCAAACGAGAGTTGTCCGTTTGAAACTTCCTAACACGCTAAGCACCTCACCATAAACCACAAGCTCGCAAACAGCATGATTAGCCAAGATAAACTTCCTTTCGATATGATAAAGACTGTCAACTGAGTGTGAGTTCAAAGCAACTTCTGTTACTCATTTGTGGTTACGAGCATCCCTGAGATTGAAAACATTCTTCCAGATAACAGCCCTAGCAGCTACAACCTACCATACCTCAGCTGGTTACGCAGGACCAGCATACGGAGGCCACGGCTTGGGAGCATTTGTGGGCGCTGCAGGACATGGTGGGTACGCAGGACCTGCTCTAGCTGCAGGACACGGTTTGGGAGGGCATGGCCTGGGTGGACCAGTTTATGCAGGATACGCCGCACCAGCCGCACATGCAGTTACAGGAGGACATGCTATTGCCGCTGCACCAGTGGCGGTGCCTGTTGGGGGAGGTCATCATGGACATGATGTTGACTATTATGTAAGTTTCCATCATGGTGTATCTTTAGTAGATTCTATCAAAAAAATCGGATAATTCAAATCTGGTAATTCCCTTCCGGGTATATTATGAGTTCAGTAGTAGGTGAAATTACCAAAAATATACATTCTTTTAACACAGATACCTTAACTTTTTCGGGTATTTGAATGATTGTAATCAATCACAGTACTTGGTATGTTGAGCTAGTCAAAAATTTGCTTAAGAATTACGAATTATTAATATTTTGACGCAATGTAGTTCTGACTGCATTTCTGAACAGTGAGACTTTAATCACGATGACTTTTCTTATTCTAGATTATCCGTCGGATCTAGTAGTTTTGTTACTGTACAATATGTTGATTCAGTTTTAGACATAAATAGACTGCTATACTTTTCATTTATCCACAAAATACTTTCTACATAGAAACAAAACATCGTTTTTGAGAGAATCAAAGGGAAGAAAAGATCATAATTTGTATTGAGCAGCAATATATAATAAAAATGGAAGAAATGGCTTCCCTTTTCTTACAGAAATTTCGGTTTCGGAGTTACGAGGGGTTTTTCGACTGTAGGACAGTCTTACCGAAAGGAAAATCGTATCATCATTTGGTGTGAAAAGTGAGGCTTCTTACGTAAAAATGTCCTGAGCTTAAATTCATCCATTTCATATTTTTTTCCTATTTTCTGGTCTTGCAGTAATTTTTGGAAATAGCTATTAAAAAATTCGGGAGAGCAATTTTTGGCCTTCATCATCAGGACTACAGACTAAATGTCTTGAAGATACCCTTTATAGAAGGTGTGACCTACACATACAATTAATATTAAAGGGCTTTATTTCTAGATTCCTTTGACGCCGCTTTGTTCAGAGTGATTCAAACACAGAGGCGATACATCTACGAGCCCCTTCCCACTTCAGTTAGCCCAACTATTAAAATCTTAGTTTTTCCTTATCAAACACAAATAATAAAAATGTAGCAGGGTGTTATAGGTTTAAAATATTAACAATGAATATTTTAATAATATATAGTAGAAAACACCAACTTTATCACTCAGCATAATTTGCAGCATAAAAATAACACATGTTGCAATTACAGCATATCAACCTATTTTCATTTCAATGCAAAATAAGTCTATAATGCATATGTGGCTGTGAAAAATAAAAGTCATGTCAATTGTTTTTACGTTTAAAATAGTTTTGGGTAGTTAAGGTTTTCAAAATGGGTAGAGGAAAGGTTATTAGTGAGAAAATTCGGTTACTCTTAATTAATTTTTTTAATTCTGGGAAATCAAACTCAGAAAATTGCAACTTTGTTAGACTTATCGCTGTACAGAGTGAGAAATATTGTTAGAAGATATAACGTAACTGGTTCACGATATGTGAAAAAAGTAATATCACAAATGCCGACCGAAGAGCATTAAGAAGAATAATCGTGAAAAACAGGCGTGCCAGTTATTTACAATTAAGTGCTCTGTGGAGTGACGCTGTTGGAAGTAGAATTTCGAGGTCCACAACTCATAGAGAGGTCCACAAACTGGGATTTAGCACTTGCAAGGTAAGTTTTCTTATAAAAAAAAGTGAAGTAAAAACCCTAAAGTTGCACAAGTTGCTTATAGGCCAAAGAAAAGCCACTATTAACTCCACTGCAAAAGATAAATCGGCTTAGATGGGCTAAAGAACATAGACAATGGACACCTCAACAATGGTGTGCAATACAATGGAGTGATGAGGCCCGATACGAAGTTTGTGTTGGTGACAGTCGCAGAAGAGTTATTCGCAAAAAAATTAAGCATTCCATGTTGACTGTCTGAAGAGAAAAGTGAAATTTCCAGCATCCATTACGGTCTGGGGCAGCATGTCATCAAAAGGAGTAGGAAAACTTCATTTTATTGATGGAAATGTGGATACAAACAAATATTTGGCAATTTTAGAAGAATCGCTTTTACCAGTGATGGAAGAATGTTTGACATCCGGCCAAGATTTTGTGTTCCAGCAAGATGGTGCAGCGTGCCATACTTCAAAAAAGGCTATAAAATGGATGGAAGAAAATAATGTACCACTTTTGAAATGGGTTTCTAGCAGTCCAGATCTGTCACCTATTGAAACTTTGTGGCACGAGATGAAAAAGGTTCTACGACAACATAATGCTCGTACAATCGCCGAACTGAGACAAAAGCTTCAAGAAATATGGGATTATTTTACACCAAATTTTTGCCAAAACTTGGTTAACACTATGCAGCCGTAATAAAAAATAAAGGTGATGTTACCCAATGGTAATCTTTCAATTGTTGCTTTGTTAACTTCGCGCATTTATTCGCACATTGTTTATTTGTTCAGATGTTCTATTAGTTATAGATCTAAGTGATTTCAAATATGTATTTTTTACGACTAGAGTGTATCTAAAATGTTTTTGCGAAAATAAATTGTTTTAGAAGTAAAACGTTTCGTCATGTTTAGTTTATAAAGGCATATTTTGGTACAAATCTTGAAGTGGGCCAACTGAAGTGTGAAGAGGCTCGTAGTGCAGAACATTAATTCAAAATGGCAAAAAATATTTTATATATATATATCTATGACATGAATTCAGTTACAAAGCTATATGCATGTTATATGTAGTCAGAATAGCATAATCAATACATACAAAAATTTCGTGGTTCAAACTAGAGTAGTGGCGGCTAAACTGGGAAATTTTGTCCACACAGAAGAAGAAATGGAGATATCTTCTATATCAATCTTGGTATAGGTAGGTAATTTCATAACAAGGAATTGCCATCAATTTTACTTGGATAATAGGCTGGCATTAGAAATGTTTGACATTGAACATCGTAACATATGTACTATGAGGGCTGCGTTCGTGAATTATTACAAAGTGTACTTTGTACTGCCCTGTAACAATGTAAGCGTTCGTGATTGTGTGACTTACATATTATTACATGCGTTCGGAAACAGAACAAAGTAATCCTTCTAGAGCGCTTTTTTCCCGTTTTCAAAACCTTGGGAATAAGAGTGTTGTCACTTGACATTCTAATGGTTCATTGTTGTTTTACTTTATTTGGTTATCAAAAAGTGCCCAAAATTGACAGAGAATATATTTTTTCTGTGACGGGAAAAGACATTTTATCTCTGCTGTCAGCTAACAAAATTTTACTTTTTATGAAATTACGTTTATCCCCGGGAGAAAAATGAGTACTTTTTTCTCGGATATTGTATAAACACATAATCAAAGGTAGATATTTAATTTTAGAATATTTTATGATACAATAAAGTTACATTTCCGTTATATCAAAGGTACAATTATTAAATGTACATTGCATGAATGACACGTTCCTTAAACTATTCGGTACAACAGTAAAATTTTATAGTGTTGAAATTATATGTTTTTCTGCCATCACAACTCCCGTTGATATATTTGGTCGCAAGTCCGGTGTTATTTCAGCACTACCACACGTTCTAAACACTTTATTAGCTATTTCTGTCCTGTATGCTACCGATTCATCAACATACCCTTCAGCGACCGTTGATCACTTCCAACCGCCATGTTTCTTCTTTCTAGTGTCATCAAGCCTCCCCCAGATTTAACTGAAACAGTAGCAGACGATTTTCGAAATGAATCACCTGTATATGAGTTAGCATTTTCAAGTTGAAGAAAATTAGCCACTGTGTGCCACAATGGGTGATGAGATAGTAGTGTATACCCAATAAAAAACAAACTCAGTCTTTATCAACTATTATTAGTAATAATATTAGCAGTTTATTATTGAAGAGAAAACAAACTATAAAATATGGAATAATCAGTCGTTAAATGTTATCAAAAATTAGCGAAAAATAAGCTATTGCCGGTTGCACCAATACTATTTAACGTTTATTCACAAGGAAACCTAGTTTAATTTGAATATTTTTATTGCAAAAGTACTTGGACTCCCTTTGAAATTTCAAAATGTGTTTAACTTAAACGATCAATTCTTGCAGCTTAAGTTACATATTTTGAAAGGCATTGATAACGTAGCCGCCAAAAACCGTGAAATGAACTACATGTTTAACAAATTTTTGTGTTATTTTTGTATATATTTTCTGATCATAAAATATTGCCACCGCTCTTTGAATTATCGTGCCGGTAAAATTGGTACATGTTTGTATTCCAGGCTCATCCAAAGTACCAATTCAACTATGGCGTCGCCGACGGTCTGACAGGAGACCACAAGACCCAGTCAGAAGTCCGCGACGGTGGTCATGTCAAAGGCTCTTACTCAGTGGCGGAACCTGATGGCACATTGAGGGTTGTTGAATATGCAGCTGATGACGTGAATGGGTTTAATGCAGTTGTAAAGAAAATAGGACCTCAAATCCATCCCCATCATGCACCAGTGTATGGAGGACACCATGGCCATTATTAGGAGAATTTGCAGAAGCTAGTTCGGTGCATCTATAGTGCATTAATGTATAAAATCTGTATGTTAGCTTAAAATTTAAAGTACAATTCGGGGCAAAGCAGCAGTAAGCATTTGTAGTAACTGCCAGTCATAAGAAAACAACATGTCAATGTCTCTTGACTACAAGTTACACCACTGGTCTTGACGCAGTGTGTGTCATCATGACCTACTTCTATTTTGTTCCAAGTGCCACCTTATTGCTAAGCAAGGATATATCGTTTCATCCAAGCATCAAAGAAACTTCGGGAAACCATCACAATCCAAAAGGAAATTTCTAGGTCTATCTTTTATCCATTATATTATTATATTTAAAAATAACTATTGTTAGAATTCTCAAATTATTTTATGTATATTATCTGAAATATTTGGTGTAGCAGAGAAAATCTTTTACTGTGGCGAGCACTCATCAAGAGGATTTAGAACTGACTTAGTTTGTTGCTGGAAATGTATGAAACGTGATGAAATTGGTTTCGTACTTACATGAATAAAATAGATCTGTATAGGATTATAGATATCATCTCATTATTCGTAGTAAAAACTATTTAGGTCGCGAGTTTTACATATTTTCAGCAACATACTACTTTAGTTTTGAAACCCTTTGATGGGCTATGATTAAAAAATATAATTAATTTATATATGGATATTGGTCTAAGATTGAGAAGAAGGATTTAAACTTTAGCCAAAATCCCTCTTCGGGAGTCCCTACGTTGCAACACAAAATATTGAAGAAACTCGTCATCCAAAAAATTAAAAAAAAACTGCAATTTGAGTTGCTTAACCTTTTTTAATATGCAATACTTGTAATTAACGATGTTACCGTCGAATGTTGGATTAAATACGTGTTTAGATTCCATGTGACTCGTTCATGCTTTGTAGCTTTAATTTCTTTTAGTCGTAACTAGATGAAGTATGCCCGACTTAAAATACTTTGCATTCTGTTTTGAACACTGACATTTGCGGGGGTGATACACTGAAATGTAACGATGATAACTTTAGCTTTGTTTTATGTATATGCTACGCAGGCACCTTTGTTTGGTCAAAGCATTTTAGATTTTTTTGCAGGTTAGATTTTAAGAAGATTTGTATTATTAAATATTTTCATTTGTACATGGCCAAGTCTGAGAATTGTAATTTGTAGATATATCGCATCAGTTATGTAGATAGTTGGTTTGTAATTAAATATACTGATTTTTTAAGGGTATTTAAACGTCTTTTTCTTGGCGGATATGTCTGATTTGCTTATAGTAGTGTTTCAAGTACAAAATCACGAAGAACGCTGAGGATTGGGTCCTGACGAAGGTTGAGATGTAGGCACTTGGCAGGTCAAGTTAAGTGAGTCATAACTGAGTCAAATTAAAACGCCATGAGAAGAGTTGTGGTTTACAGTTTTGCTTATGATATTACTCAAACTTGATAGTCGAACAGTCTGGGAATCATATTCATTCTGTCAGCCAACGGGCACAAAATAACTACTTATAAAAAGTATGTTGAAAGCTAGTTTCCAGAAAAATATGAGATGATAGCACCTGCCGTGTTATTAATAATAATGATAATAGCGTTTTATTTGCAGAGCAAAAAAATACAAAGGGAGAAAAATTAAAAATGAAGAGACAATATGAATTCCCTGCAAAAGGGACTAGTAAACAGACGAGCTGATCAAAGTACTAGCCCAACAAACAAAATTACAACAGAGGAGTTCTTAACCAAATTATTATTAATATCTAATAAATAAATAATAATTATAAACGCCAAAAAAATATGTATTTAAAGAAATTAAATAAAAAATATAATTTAACGAAAAAGGTCAAATCATTTTAGGCAGATTTAACAAAAAAAAACATTTAATATATAAAAAGGAAAGGAACAATATACAGGGTTTGTCCGGGAAGTAATAGGACTGAGTCGATTTGAGCCAATCGCTGTAGGGCTGTAGGGCGGCTGCGGAAGCGTTGGGATCCCGGCCTTGGTCAGGTAGCTGTTCACAAGAAAGGCGTTTGAGCCGAGGCGTTGTCGTGGTGCAACTTCCAGTCGGCTGCGATGTCTTGTCGGACTCGACTGACCCTCGTTTGAGTCTCCTGAGCACTTCCACATACAACTTGGCGTTGACGGTTTTTCCAGAAGGAACAAATTCATCGTGGACGATGCCTTTGATGTCAAAAAAGACAATGAGCATCGTTTTCACTTTGGATTTGCTCATGCTTCCCTTTTTCGGGCGAGGAGACGCCGTCCTGTGCCACTCGGAAGATTGCCTATTTGTCTCGGCATCATACTCAAAGATCCACGACTCGTCACCTGTGATTACCTTATTAAAAAATTGGGGGTCACTTTCACACATGTTCAAATTTTCTTGGCACACTTCCACTCGCCGCAATTTCTGGTCGTCAGTGAGCACTTTTGGGACCATCTTGGCGCACACCTTGCGCATGTTCAAATGCTGTGTAACAATGTCATGAACCAAAGATTTTGGTAAATTTAACATCTGGGCAATTAAACGAATACTTAGTCGACGGTCTGAGTTCAAAAATTTGCGCACACGAGTCACATTATCGGTGTTTGTCGAAGTCGAAGGTCTTCCAGCACGGTCTTCATCAGCGACCTCTTCCCGGCCCTCCAAAAAGGCCTGGTGCCACCGAAACACACCACTTCTCGCTAAAGCAACACCTGGGTAAGCCTGCTTGATCATATCAAACGTCTCTGTCGCAGATTTAGCGAGTTTCACACAGAATTTAATCGCGTACCTTTGCTCTAACGAACGCTGCATTTTCGGCTTGCACCACTCATAGAAACACGTCGTGCGAAAATGCCTGTCTTGACTCTCCAAGTGCTCGGAGACAACTGACCAGCCGCTCATTCGTTAACTAGGAACGCCCTCTACCGTATCCAGTCGGTGCGTGCACGCTCTGAAGTAGTCATGGCGGAAGAAAATGAGTCCTATTAATTTCCGGACAAACCCTGTAAAGTAAACACTACAATTCATCTAATAGAAATTTTCTGTAACTTCTAGGAAACGCTGACACAGACACAGACTTTATCATTAACTAGATAGTTCCTTAGTTATTCTAGTGGCGAATTATCAAAGTGCTATTTATTCATGTATAGACAAGCATTGTGATTGCACAGTGTTGACTAAGGAAGTATGTACATAATGTGATACTAAGGGATTCTGCAGGGATTATAAATATGATTATGAGACAGTTCAGTGTAGGGTGCTCCGAAACAATACAATACAGAAGGGTTCAGTCAATGGAGCTTCAACGATTTTTCGAAATCTTTTATATCGAGCTTTTTCTGACAACTCAATACGTGCGTCGTTAGTAAAGGCCCATGCTGCATGACTCACTTATTCTATTTAGGCTATTTACCTGCAACAATGTAACCCGCATACACACGGTATGGTCATTGTTTCAAACCGCTAATATTGTGTGTCCTTTGTATACAATAAGGATACATGCCATTATGAAGGCAGTCCTCGAAGATTATGAAATAATTAGCGAAATGTACTAATGGATTGCATTCTGTGAGAACTGTGCCAGCCTTATCGAGGTTTAGAATACGATTCAATGCTTCTTGAACTGTTGCAGATTGTATTTGGTGCATCACTTTAAAGAAAAGTTGCATATGTGAATATAATAGACATATAGTCATACGAGCAGATAATAATGACTAATGTATTAATAAATACATCCCTGCTCGTTTTAAATTTTCCAGTTTACGTTTTTATCGTTACCCCTTAGCAGCAATGCGATTCTGTCAAATATACCGAGTAGCTAAAACCCGCATGAACACACTGAGACACAAACTTTTTCAAAATGTGGCATATTTAAAAAAGGTTCAGTTGTTTTTCAGTGATTTCGATTCTTTTGAAATGTATAGTTTATTTAAAAAAGTGCAAAAGTAACACATATCTCGATCACTTTAATAGACGGATACAATGAAAAACTTGCATTTTCAAATGAAGTCCTCTAATTTCGTCACATAAACAGGGTAATAAGGAATCTTGGAACTAATTACTATCCGAGGCAATAAGGAAGCCTTAAATAAAACAAGCCATTCTTCATTGATAAGAGATACTTGACAATTCTCTTGTTACTTCCATGTATCGACTGTCAATTCAAATGTGGATCCACACAATAAAGAGAATTCAGGTGTAGTATATGACAAGGTACGTCAGAGCTATGGCGAATTATACTGAGTCACCTTGGTCATTGTGAAGAGATATTTCTAAGCTATACTTATCTTTCTTGGATCAGCTTCATCTTTCACAACTTAGACGTTTTGATCATATCACCCGATACATATAACGCGGTTCTTTATAAGAGTATAATCTCTAAATATAATTAAATAATACCTTGCGTTCTAGTCAATTTCAAAACTGCGAGACTTCCTGCCAGTAAAAAATAATTCGAAATAAGTCTACTGCAAAAATTTACACAACTTTTTCAGCACATCACATCATTTGGGAAATGTAGAAATATAAACACCCTATCGCAAACAAAACGATGTATAGAGTGTGAACACGCGCTGCCTCTACACCAAATTCTTTGTTAATTTAGGATGCAAATATTATTCGTTCATCAGGCATACTTGATAAATTCAAGTCCCAATCAATATGGTTTTGTAGCAGGAAGATCTATCACAGATGCTATACTAAGTCTAGTGAATCAAATCACTCAAAACATTGATGAAAAAATTCCATCTATTTTTCGATCTAAAAAAGGCATTCGATACAGTTAACCACAATTTACTGTTATAGATTTTAGGCAAATTAGGTTTTCGTGCAAAAATATTTTCTTAAATGCAAAGTTATTTATCAATAAGGTCCCAGTGAGGAAGTGTTTGCCATATACCTAAGGGTGAATATATTTTTAAAATTAACAGTGTATAGTTGTACTGACCGTTTTTGGCGGTTACGTCATCAACGCCATATGAAATAAGTAAACAGATCGAGTCTCCGTACCACGGGCGGATCTACTACTGCTACTCTCTCCTCCAGTACGTATGAAGTGGGTAATAGTGGATCGCTGTTTTCATTCTCTGCATGGAAATACTCTAATAAATTTACCACGAACTGTCGGCCTCCTCCATTGATCCTATTTCTGGGCGTTGTACAATTTTATATTGAAGATTGATAACAAGACAACTCAAATTGCACGCCGATGTCAAGGAAGTTATCATTCTGACAAATATAATTGAAGGGCACGCATAAGTAACGACAAAGTTTTCGAGACGAAGACACGCAACTAAAAAACGTATGTCTTTAAGCTTACCGAACAAACGTTCACATACAGGGCTAGGTTGCATGTGTATGAATGAGGGAGATGGAAATATATAAAGGGATACCGGTAGTCTTACTTTGACCCGCCAAGAGCGGCAACCAGAACTATAGTTAAAATAGTCAGTTTTGCTGATGATGCGGTATTAAAGCTACATATAAAGAGAACAATTTAGAATCATTTTTGTAAGATCAGTCCTGTTTTCAACACTAGAAAATCAATCGTGAACTTTCAAAAAACGTATTTTCCACCCAGATCATACTCAAGATTATTCAAATATTTTCATCAAAATAAACAATGCAAATTAAAAAATTGGCAGAGTGGACAGTATGAAGCATTTTGGAATTATTTTAGACCAACCTTTGAGGTGGGACATTCATACAGAAAGATATGATTTGTTAAATACAAAATTGAATTTCTCCCAGACGTACTGAGAGAAAATTATATGCATACTATACAACATGCCTAATTGAGCCGCGCCTAATGTATAGATATTTGCGTGGGGTATACAGCATGTCCAACGAATTTAAACGATATAGAAGTTTTACAGAGAGAACTGTTTTGAATAATATGTTCGAGAAACCAAAATTATATTAAACCAATGCTTCATATAATGAAACAAAATTATTTAATACCAACCAACTTCATTTCTTACATACTATCAGCCATTATTATTGCAGAGTTGTCAGTGAGCGCAAAAAAATCATACATTACCATGATACTTTATATAAACTACGTGCTAAACTGCCCCTAAACCTCATAAGACCATAATGGAGCGATCTTTCCTCTATTTGGTTCTAAAATTATATGAACACGTACCCAAATACTTGGCATAATTTCGGAACACACAAAATGTTAAAAAGTACCTCTTTGATATATATTTTTCTGTTACCCTTTTTGTTTTGTTTTTGGAATGGCATACGTTTCAGCAGACAACTGCTCCATGTACACAGGCATTGTCCATCTGTAGATTAAAACATATTTATTTACTCACTCTATACTGTTATTATTGTTACATTGTGATGTAAATTAATATCTACTACTACTTGCTATAATGAGTTTGATACTATCATTGATTAACATATTGTACCTAAAGATAGCGCATCGTACACTATATATAAATTGATCTGGAAAGATTTTCAATTCCTTTTTTTGGCCTCTCTAGTGCCTGATTGGGTATGGTATGTAGCCGACTAGTCGCAGAAATGCATCTGCGTTCGTCTAACTTTCTTTTGGGCCTGTGACGCCGAACCAAAAAAACACGAAATCGGTAGATAGTGCCGTTGAAATTTGGTACATTCAAGGACAACATCGGTAGGTGCGCACACGCACAACACATCTTTTTTGAGGCCATCTTTTCCCGAAAAACTTTTAATTTCATTATTATAACTTATACAATGGGCAAACTGGTCGCTTTTCAACCTCATTTGCAAACATCATGGAAACTCCTTTCTCCATTCTTCATTGTAAAGCACACAGACTACATATAATTCATTTTTCCACCTTTTAAATTTATTATTATTTTAAAAAATGAGCACATTCTCGGTATTATTACTATAACTGAACTATGCAAGAATTACTGCGAAATCAACCCGTGTTATGTCTCTTAATGAGATACCAGCTGGTAACAAAGCGTCAGAAAAAAAACGCACTGTTCTTATCATTGCATCTCCCAGTTGTAATTATTAATTTTCGCAATTTGCCGCTTGAAGTAGTTTGCTTCCTTCATTTGAATATATCAGAATGTAAGCGTTTAATTGTATGTAATAGTACCTGCATTTATTATTCTAATTAGAGGTACTACTGTGAAAAATAATGACGAGATAACGGGGACTGTTGGAGCGGTGGATGCTAGGCTGCTAGCAGTTAGCCTATACTAGGCAGTGCAATATTTCAAAGCCAGGCTTTCTCAAAATGGATCAAAAATTCACCCCTCAAACACTGACATCCTGTAAACAATTTTGGCATCCACTCAGTTGCCTCTCTCTCCTCCTTCTTGCTTGTTGACTTATCCATTTCTCGATATGATGTTCCTGCAGAGCAACTGTAATCTGGCATTTGCATACCCGACTCAAGGCTGATGATGAGCATCTAGCTCCCTCTCTAGACAAGTGATCGCCCGTATAAGATATCCAATTAAAATGGGCATTGGAGAGGACAAAAAAGAGCCCAGCACCACAAAAACTTTAGCTCTTCACAAAGTAGATTTCCCAATTAATTTCTGTCTCACAGATGCCGCTACTATTTCTCAGATTGCTTTTTGGACGCCTGAATACACTATGTAGTTGGCCATTTCCTGTTAGTTAATCAATCGTGTTGAAGAGCAATGACGCATTCCTGGAAAAGAAATAAGAGGATAAATACTATTCCGTATACTTCGTCCTTTTTTTGGTTAGATTCCATTAGATCATAGAGTTCTGCCATGTTATTTTTTAGTGTACCTTCTGGACTGTACTATTGCACAATGAAACAAGCCAAGCAACTCATACGCACAATAATTATACCATTCATGCAATAATTATTCTCCACAGATTCGTGAGACTTTTAATTCCTTCATTGTTCAATTTTACGCAACACATGTCATGTGAACAATTCTGAATTTGCTGCTACACTGATTTATTGCGCCTCAAATTAAATTAATGTTTACAGCGTATGTTAGAAGTTCATGTGAAGACGAACTGGAAATTCAAGTAACGCATTTCCTTGGTAGTATTGCTAGAGCAGAAGGTCCAAAGCGCGGGAGATTCTTATATCAGTACTAAAATGCATGCATTCAGGTTTTGGGAGTGTATCACGAGTTGTACGAATCTCTTTTGATTTTAAAACGTTGGAGACTTCAATGATAGATCAGACGCGAAACCTGGAAGCTGAACAGGAAGAGGTTTGTCGTTCGTTTTTATAGGCAGATAAAAAAAGTCAATGTTCAATACCAAATAGGAATTAGTTGGAAGTAAGGGTTGAGTGTCTTCTGCCACCAGCTTAACACAAGTTTTCACTTGTCTCTCAGATTTGATAGCCAAAACTATTCCGCGAATACTGCTGTTTAGCATAAAATCGCTGCATCGCTGGACAACTTTACGTTAGCTGAAGGCACTGCTTCTTTAAAGCATTGGATGCTCCAGTGAGCGATAGACACGAAACCTCAAAATTAAATTGGCAGGAACATTTTTTGACAATCATTTTCCAACCCTAAGTAGAAAAGATGATCGATCTAAGGCCCGTATCGTCAGTCGTCCCTACAATTGTATTGCGCCTTTATGGCCTCCTTGATTGTCATAGTTTTCTACCTCTCCGTGTCAGCGCTCTATTTTGAGGTTATGTCACAAACATCTATTTGCATCAAATTGTGCTTGCTTTTGAGTTATATTACGTTTTATTAGCCTCAAATTTCCTACAATTTAAAAAGAAAACGTATCTTCACAATAGGAGAGCGCTGACGCTGACACGGGACAAGTGTAATCTAGAAATTTTTGAAGGAGAGAAAGGAGTATGACAATCAAGGAGGCTATAAACGCGCCCTACAATTGTAAGGACGACTGAGGATACGGGCCTTAGTGACCGATGTAAATATTTGTGAAAAGAATAAATTCAGACACAGAATCTATTAATTATTTTATTTTTAATCATAAAAACATAAAAGAAATAGTAAATGCCCAACACAAAATATAAAGATGGAAGTAAACATGGGTTGGATTGCATATAAAACACTGGAGACAACGATCGATCACACGTGAAACCTCGAAATTGGATTGGAAGAGACTTCTTGTCAACTCTATTTCCATAAACAGATGAAAATCAGTCACCGTTTAGCACCAAATATTAACTTGATAAAAAAAAACTAAATGTGGATTGATTAAGATATTGGAGATTCCAACAAGTCATCAGAAATGTCAGCGTTGAGGAAAAAAGGACTCCTGTCAATTCTATTTGTAGCAGAAACAGGTAAACACTGGCACTTAATACAAAAATTGGTTGTGTTCTTCGAAACATTGGAGACACGAAGTTTTGAAATTAATTTGAAAATCGTTTTTCCGATTATACTAATACAAGCAAAATGGTTGACTTGATGAAATTTGGGACATGCAGCATCCAAAAACATCAAGTCACATACTCCAAAAAAGGCTCGCTGGTAAATATATGTAGGTACAGTCTGGAGATATTTTGTATACTTTTGCTGTATTTGTAAGGTGAAATAAATTAATAAGAATATTCGTTCAATTGGAAGTATTGCCGAACTTCATTATGATAATGAATGTCTATCTGTCTTCACAGCTAGCGTACTGCGATGGTGGGGAGTTGATTACAATAACACTATTGTCTATAGACACTTTTCTGGGAGTAACTATATAACCATCAGCCTCCGCAAAAACTAGGTTAGTCTGTACGCGGGATTTTAATTTTTTCGCAACGGTGACTATGATTTTTAAGGTAAATTGTCTAGCCGATGACCATAACAAACAAATCATTTAGCAGTGCTTTGATGGATATTGTGGATTAACATTTCTGTAGTAAAATTGTGCTTGTATGAGGTATTGTGATGTGAAACGAGATACGACGGTTTGCATTTATAGTTTTATAATAACTGAAGACACAGGTGGATAAAGGTGTCATGTAACAAATCATTGTATGGAGAAAATTGACTTTAATGATTTTTTATTGAGACTTTTTACTTTATTGACCTTTCAAATATTTGGTTTAATTAGTTTGTTATTATTTTGTTCTTGCAAAGTAATCACGGAATGAGAGAATCACTCCTTAAGATTAGTGTAATGCAAAAAAGCAATTTCTTTTAAAAAATGTTACATGACACTTTTATCCACTTGTGTCCTCAATTGTTGCATTACCAGAAAAGGACTTAAGATGCTTAGGCATTAGAAAATCATGTTTTTTTTTGGATACTGCTGCTGTTATTACTTTCGTAGTACAGAACATGTATGTATACAATACTTTAGGAAACGTGTATTTGTCGAATTTTATGGCTTAATTTTTATCGTTCAACCGTAACTTCCGTGTTTAATTTACTATCTAACCGTATATCAAAGTCAGGTCTTCTGTTCATGAATAATAAAATAAATTCTTATTTGATGGTCTACTATTGCAATTATTGTCGCAGGATTTTAAATATTATGTCAAACACACAAAACTGATCGACTTGATGTTACATACAAAACGTGTATAGAGTCTTAAGTAACATATCGAAGGTGGACTACCAAGTTGACATCTTCTTTTGATATTACCAAAAATGGCTTGAAAAACTGTATCCAACTTACTCTCTCAAATACAGTATTTTCCTTTAGCTTCCTAGCACTCAGTAATCTCCGTTTCTCTGAAAAAAATATTTTCAGCGGTATCTCGTCAAATTATTAGTGTTTTTTGATATGTCATTTCTTCAAGCTAGACTGGCCAAGCTGGGTGCATCGTGATAAAATAAGGCTATGATAATGCGTTTGTGTATTTTTATTTAGACTAAAAACACTGTGTTAATGAAGTATCTAACAAAGATTCAAGTTATAAATCGATGAGCAGTTTTAAGATAAATAAAATTATGAATACATGTTCGTTTCCTAACTTTTTATGAAATATTAATAATAATAATGATAATAATAATAACAATAATAATAACAATAATAATAATAACAATAATAATAACAGTAATAATAATAACAATAATAATAATAATAATATTAACTTCTCACAAAAATCCGAAAAACCTTCAATCGATTTTGTTGAAGTTGAATGCGCGGACACTTAAATTCAGTCGAAAAAGAACACCGAGTCAATAATACTCCTAAGGGCATAAAGCTGAGGGATTCAAATCTAGAGGTCTAGGTGACCATGGTCCATTTGTCAATTGATTTTAATTTCTTGCGATAACACTTTAAGGGTTGTACATATTCTTAAAATTGAAAATAAAGGTCTAAATGGTTATAATAGTGTTTACAAAATAAAAAAGATTTTAGAAAAAAATGTTTCATACTCTCAAACTTGAAAATGAAGCGTTCTTATATAAAGTTTTCCACTAGGCCACCGCCCTTGTATGATATGGAATTTGTGTATCATCTTCCTGAATATTTATGTGGAATCATAATATTTCTAGTCCTTTTAATCAAGGCATATCTATCGTCTCAATGTCAATGTGCGTGTTGTGTTATGCTTAGTGAAGAAAACCTATGTAATATATTTTTTGTTATGAAGTAACTATCCGGTTTTTTGTGATTACGTATTTCTGTTATGGCTCCAGAATCAATCGACCTTTGAAGTGTAACTGTAATTTTATTTATGAAATGGGGATCCATCCGTCCAAAACCACAATTCTGCATGCTTTTAGTTGCAAGTACTATCAAAACTTGATGGAATTACATGACAAAAATTAATCTTATTATAACAACTAGTTTAAAGATATTTGGTTGAAAATGCTCTCGTCTGGAATACTATCAATGACAAGATGTTGATTTTACTGCCGTTTTGGCTGCCATGACAGTATTTTGAAAAGTATGTAACATAAGTCCTAGATTTGAAAACTCCTAACAGTGTTCATGTATAAACAACAGCCCGAATTTATGATTGCTAACTTGACCTGTTCAAAAAAATTGATAGGTGGGACCTTTATGAAAAGCACTTACCTTTACCTTTTTTATTCGGATTTCTGTAGCTTAAATAAAAATACCAAATATATGTTCCATAAATTGCTTCATGAAACGGAGTGCTGAAAAAACTGCATCTGACATTTGGCATCGTATATATGTCAGAAACGATGAACCAACCATTTTCTAGAGTCAGCTTTATGAGGCTTTAAGAGCTCTCAACTTTGAGCATAGTGATACAAAATCGGATCTACTCCAATTTATTGTAAACATATTGGAGAAACAGTCACGTATTATACCAACCACTCTGTACATTCGAGTATGCTAATCGTCATCTTACTCCTGAAAGTGTGCATCTGCCATCTGCCAAACGGAATTAAGATACCATTACTGGGGTCAAATATCACATGTTATCCATTAAGAAATCTTTCAGTAAAAATTATCCTTGTTACTTTCTATTGATCTTTTCACTTTCGATTACTACTTAGAATAATGTTAAAAAAAGTAATAAGTAATTACATATGCCATGTTAATGATGGTATGTAACAATTTTTTTTTTTGGTCTACAGATTACTGTGCCACTTCTCTTGATAGCGACTACAGAAGTTAGATGTGGTGTTCTGACAGCTCAGCACCACCATGAAGTTCATCAGCCGATAGATCATATTCAACATCAGTTGGTAGATCACATTGCACATAGCTCCAAGGAGGTGGATTACTACGTAAGTATTCTACGGTGTGTTGTGCCTCAACTATAAGAGATAAGGCTCAGTCTGGATATGTGTTAAAGATCCATAAAAACTTAATATACAGGGTGACTTCGAAGTTGAGTCATTTATTTTAACAGTGAGTAGATCTGATCAAAAGAAATGTTTTTTTCCTTTGCCATTCTTCTGGTAAAATTAAAGTAACAAAGTTATAGCCCTTTGGAAGTTTGAGTACCGCCCTGTCTCAATGTGCTCGTGTTTGGCGACAACGGATATAATCCGCCGTATCGGTTCATCGCATCGGAAACAAAAAAGCGAAAGAATTTGGAACGATGTTTTTACATTGTTTCATTCATTTGTATACAGTCAGTGTCAGTGAATAGTGATATCTGTTGCGTGGCTCAAACGAAATAAAAAATGGCACATGTTTATGCGGATCGGTTTCCCAATCGAGTGCAACCAACCCCTCGTGCCTTTGTTAATGTAGTACAACGGGCTCGTGAATCAGGTGACTTAAGACCTCACAGGGGACCTCACGATCAAATACAGGTCCGCACTGAAATACTTGTCGGGAGGATACTTTATAAAACAAGGTAAAAATTTTTTTTTATTTTTTTTTTATTTTTACACACATATTTTGGTTTATCTTCCTTCTACAATCATTATCTGAAAATTAATGACTCAACTTCAAATATACATCTCAACTATATATATATTATTTACTAGGTCTTTCATGCAGTATCCTTCTTATATATACGAGTATGTTCTTTGCCAAAACAATTTAAAAACATGTCGCTAACTAAATTTAAATGTCATTTAAAATATTACCTTCTGCATATATAGTAGTAGTCTAATTATTTTTGATTTCTCATTATTATTATTCATGGTTATTGTATCAACTTTTTACTAATCTAAATACATAGTAGCAATCTCTATTTGAGGGGTTAAGTGGAAGAATAGCCGTTGCTAAACATCGCTCATTTATAACTTATTGTAAGTTATAAATAAAGACGTTTATTGTTATTTTAATTACATAAGCGAGATAAATTAGTGATTGAATTTTAAAGTTAAAGCATTTGCGGTATAGCTTATAATGTGCCGGGTCGCCCTGATACAGTCCAGATATCGAGGCATGTTTCTGAAGAAGAGATCTGTATATTTTTGGGGTATTTGTTCCTAAACCAGCTGCATTTGGTTCCGAGGAGTTGTTAGCGCTAGGGTTTCTAGAGAATAAGCTAAAAAGGGCCACCTTTCTTCCATGAGCGAAAAGTCTTGACGTCTAGGAGGCCAAGGCCGTAGGCTGATTTGAGTGTTATTGAAGTAGTCTTTTATAGCTTTACCACTACAGTCGAAATAAAAATTGATTCAAAACTACTCACTGAAGCGAGACCTTGTTTTATTTCGGATAAAATGACGCAAATATCACGTTTATCATATTTCTTAAAAAATGAAAAGGATACCAGAAAAATACTTAATAGAAAAATGTAGAAAATGCAATTATCTATAAAAGTTGTTCGATTGCTTTCATTCCTTGAGTTACCGTTTATGAGATTAGTGATCTGTGCAGATACTCTTCTGCTCTTATGCAGAATATATTATGTGTAAGCCATCGACTGTTCAATATGAACATATCACCTATACAGGGTATGTCAAAAAAGAAGTACCAGCGATTTTTCTAAAAAATCATTCCATGAGAAGCCAAAAGTTTGTATATAGAACAATTGAACTCGAAATGCGTGGAAGCTAAAAAAGAAGCTACGGCACTAGCACTGTGGGATGAACATTATGTTGTTGGAAAGTGAGGTTTTCAAGCACCTGGATATAACCGTTGTGCCGTTACGCCTCCTCTAATGAAAACTATACTAAGTGACATATAAATCCGAACACCCAGTTTAAATGGTTTTATTTTAATAAAATTTTGTATAAGTACCTAATGAAGCATAATAAGTAAATGACAAAAATTTCAAAATGATTGCACTGCTTTAAAGCCCTTTGACCTTTAATAATGTGTGGATGCACCCTGATGTGCTACGCATTCTCCAACGCGCCTAGGCATGCTTCTGATCAGGTGGTCAATGTCCTCCTGTGGTATCTCATTCCAGACAACCACCAACTCCTCTCGAAGTGCTTCTAGAGTCTGAGGAGGACGTTGCAAATTGAGCAATCTCCTACCCATCATATCCCACACGTGCTCAATTGGGGATAAGTCGGGAGATCTTGGTGGCCATGGTAACAATGTGACATCATTATGTTGAAAGAAGTCTATTGTGACTCTTGCAACATGTGGTCGGGCATTATCTTGTTGGAAAGTTGGATCTGCCAGGTTGTCAAGATAGGGTAAAAGATGGGGTTCTAGAACTTCGTGGATATAACGCTGCGCGTTCATGTTACCTCTGATGAAGATTAAAGGTGTCCTGGAACCATAAGCTATAGCACCACAAACCATAACTCCAACAGTGTGATGAACATGTCTTTCAACAAAAAACTGTGGATTCCTCCTTTCACCACGTCGCCTTCTAACCCTGGCACGACCATCGTGCATGCCTAAACAAAATCGAGACTCGTCACTAAAGACAATACTGTTCCATTCCTGATCCCAGAGTGACCGTTGTCTGCACCACTCAAAGCGATTACGTCGATGTTCTCGAGTTAAAAGGAGGACCCAGTGTGGCCGGTATGAAAACAAGCCAAAACTTCTCATTCGTCGGTAAACACTTCGCAAGCCAATAGGTCTTCCGTGTTCTACAAACCATTCATTTGCAATGGACCTGGTAGTGGAGAAACGGTCCTTTAAGGCCAATAATCTTAGGCGGCGATCTTCACGGTCTGTTGTTCTACGGCGGCGTCCAGTGCCTATTAAAATAAAACCATTTAAACTTCGGATTTATATGTCACTTAGTATAGATACCATATGTAACGAAACCTCAACTATGACTCCTATCGTCTAGAGCGAGTGCTGTTCAACTGAAAGCTTTACATCAGAGACAGCTCATGAATCATGACCATTAAGCATCGATTTCTAAAACAGATATGAGCCCAAAAAAATTGGGATGACATTGTTTTTAGTGCCCCAAACTATGGCCCCTACAGTATGGTGTACGTTATATGTTCAACTCAAAGCTTTATAGTATGTCTTTCTCCGCGAAGTCTTCTGACTCGTGTCCATCGATTATTCATTTCTAAATAGAATCGATACCGCGAAAATTGCGATGAAAATGGTTAGCAATGTTTGTGATGACCTCGGTTCAGTTTGGTCAGTTCATGGACAAGCACGCGTCAGGAAACTTGGAAACTATGGAGGAACAGGTAAAATTTTAATCTAATCGCAACGTGCAGCTCTTATTAAGTATAGCTACTTTAAACTTAAGAAGGTATAAGTCATCTCTCCAGAGGTATGAGCAACGATGGAATGTATATTTATATTTTGTGTACATTAGTGTACTTATTAGAAACTAATATACGATTTTTTGTACCTTTTTAACGTTCTTATGAAATATTCCATGTCATCGCTTGATGATCCGTTGAATGAAGAATTATTATCATGATTAATACTAGTATTATTACTATTATTATTATATGGCATTGGAGTAGCACACATAGATTATTAGGAAAATCCAGGGGTATTGCAAATGTGTTTTCCTGACGGCATTCTGTAAAACTCTGTTAATTATCCTTTTTCATAGAGTCCGCCAAAGTACGCATTCAAATACGGCGTGCACGATCCTCATACTGGTGATGTGAAGCAGCAGTCTGAAGCAAGAGATGGTGACGTGGTCAAAGGACAATATTCCTTAGTGGAACCTGATGGTAGTATCAGGGTAGTGGACTATGTTGCCGATTCAGTCAACGGGTTCAACGCAGTGGTGTCAAAGAGTGCACCAAGTGTGCACCATACGGTAAGTGTCCATCTTGAAGAGTCGTCAATCCAACTAAGGTCCGATAATCAATATGCCAGTGGTCGCCAACCCGTCGATCGAAACCTACCGGTAGCTCGCAAAGGCAATTCTGGTGGCTTACAACATATTTTAAAAATGTGTAAAAATCATAGGAGCTTCCGTAAATTTTGTAAATTCTCATAATAAACACAAGCAGCGGTAACACTGTGGTGGGCGATCTGTTCGAGAACGGAATAAATACGGCACAAAGTCCAGCGGTTGGGTTAGAGTTGGTCTGCCATTAAAAACATTATGAGCAGTAGTAAGAAGATGAGGACATACCATTTCCATTCGGAATGGAAGAACAATATATCTTTACATATGTTAAAGGTAAAAAATGTATGTTTGTTATGTAATACATCTGTTTCCGATGCTAAAAAAGGAAATATCGAGAGGCACTATAAAGGTATAAGTAGATGTCTTATGGGGATTCGGTCTCAAAACTTCCAAAATCCGCCACCAGAGGCGCTGGCGTCGCGCGCCATTGACAGGTTGTTGGACGGAATCTGTATTCATGAGTTGGGGATTCCGCCGCTAGATGGCGCTGTCAAACCAAACGGAATCTGTGTGTCATTGGACACCTGTCATGCGTCATTGGGCATCTCACGCATAGATGGCGTTACACGTCATCTGTCATACGTCATTGGACACCTGTCATTGATGGGTTGAGCATCTCGCGCATAAATGGCGTAGATTTGTTTGGCGGTGTACAAACCTAACGGAATCTATGCGTCATTGGACAGCTGCCATTGATGGGTTGGGCATCTCGCGCATAGATGGCGCCGATGTCGCACCTGTCTGGTGTTGGCGTGGATTACGGGGGGCAACGTGTATACAGGGGTGCATCGAAAAATAGCGGATCGATGGACCGACGGTATATCGTTAAATCGTATATAGCAAGGCGTGACCTAAATAGCGTGGTGGGCTCCTCTGGTCGGTCGGTCGGTCGGTCAGAATGTCTCATAACCTGTATACGATGTACTGTTATTATTATACAGGATGATACCGTTCAAAATGAAAATAGTATAATGGATATTTTATTGAAACATATAGTATATATAACAATAAGGTTGATTGGTGTGTGTGTGTGTGCCATGTTTTGAATACCCGCGCTTGAACAACTTGCAACAAGAAATTCCGACAATATTATTTCGCAAACCAGAGGTATTTTCAATAAAACTACATATCAGGGAGTACTTTAGATGTTGATACTAATCGACTCAAATCATTGTTCGACAACTGATTTGGTTCATGACAGACAAGAATCAAATTATGTATTTCACGGTTCAGTTCTGGTTGTTTTTTAATTTTTTCCCTAAACTTCAGGTAACCCAGGAAATATGTCTCTTATCCGTCCTCTGTTCAACACATCAGTAAAATCGTTAGAAAATTCTATATATGACATATTATTATAAAAGGTATAGGACCGTCCTGCGTTTGATTGAAAAATAGCATTGATTCGAGCCCTATCGGGTATATCAATTGAAAAATTATCAAGAAATTTAATGGTAGGGAATGATGCTGAGAAATAGTTGTTTGGAGACACAATGGTAATCAAGTCACCGTTTGTTGATTGGAAAATATGTTGTAAAGTGTATTGACGTAATTCTGTAGGAACATAATCGACAAGAAGTTCAGGCTGAGATGGGATAATCATTTCGTTTAAGTCTAGTTTCCATATAAACATATCATGTGCAATATATAATCGGTAATTTGAAAACTCTGGAGCAATAGCTAAAAACATAAAATCTGGAATAATATCACACAAATTTTTGAGGATCGGCTGCTTACGAGTTGTAGATCTTATAGTTGTTGTTGTTTTTGGTATTGCTGATGCGGTGGTAGACGTTGGGATTGAATCATATTTGTTTTTTCTTCCATATAGATATTGTACTGCATTTATATCATCAACATCTAGACCACGAATCTCATGCTGATAGAAGGCAAACATAATAGCATTCGGAGAAGCACTATGTGCTATGCCGAGAGCATGTCCAATTTCATGAACCAACACCTGATAGAGAATGATGTCAAAAATCTCAGATAGCAAATATAAATTCGTTTACCCCCCAATCAAAATCTTGACTGAAAAAAAATTAGGCAGCAAATATACAATAATCATACACGAATTTACTATATTTCTAAATTTCTACTCTCATGTGCAACTTGTAATTGGAATTTCCGCCGGACAAACGATACATTCATGTATTACTAAGAAATTATATAAAAAATACTGCAACCGCAATGAATGTTGTTTTCTCGATAAAAATGGTACTGAGAATATGATGCATATAATATGCATATTTACGATACAATTATCTCATGCACGCGTGTGTTATCTCAACCACGTATTTATATTTAGCGAGCGCATGCAATAGTCATCATTGTTTCACACTTAACGCACAACGCTGCAAGCTGGATACAATAGTGCTTCGAGAGAGACGAGATAGCGAAAATTTTAAAAAAAGTAAGTGCTATTTTATTTAATATTTTTCTTTTTTATGTCTCTAAATGCAACTGTTTTTTTTTTTTCGTGTTATGCTTCAAAATAGTTAGACGACTCAATTTTTTTTATAGATGGATTTATCAAAAATTAATGCTGCGTCTTCGATTGTAGACCGCAAACCTATCAGAAAATTAAAGGACCTACCAGTTGGGACACCATTTGCAATCCAAGCAGCTAAAGTGGTCAAGTCGAAATTTGGGGAAGCCGTGCTACTAGATTTAGGACCGGAAGTGCTATTTCTACCACAGCGGGTGACGGAAACGTACCAGCCGGTCATCGACGAACTTTTTCACGGAAAATACTCGATCATCTTCCAAGGGGAAGTGGACGTAGGGAAAAGCCGACCGCTAGCATCATTCAAAATAGTGGAAAATTAACAAAGCAGAGAACAGGAGGAGGACAGGGTGAGCATTTTTATATATTTTTGAGTAATGTGTTTGCTTGAAAAAAAAAATGTCGTCTTTTCAAATGTCTTCAAATAAGGTTAAAAAGATCATCAAACAAACAGACGGTGTTCTACTATCAATTGTTAGTCTACGGAAAATTTTATTTGATAATTTTACAATCAGAGACGCGGAAGTGTGGCTGAAACGAATAGAAAAACAAATTAGATTATGTAAACGGGTAATTCGTAGTAGAAGGCAAAATAAATTATCTGTAGGGACCTGTAGAAAAGTAGAAACAAATTTGGGGCATTTTAAACATTTTAGAAAGTTGATTTTAACTAGACATATTGGGGCAGGACTTCACTTAACATTGGGTCAGAGGGTTAGATGGGAAAATGTAGAATCGAGCTTTCAAAGTAGAATAAAAACCGGTTCCATAGCTAATTTGCGTCATAAGGACTTGAATCAATTTTTAGCAGATTGTGTAGTTGTTTTTAAAAGGAAAATTAGGAATATTTTGAACACCCATTGTGCGCTCAAAGTAAATACAACATTTTGCGGGGAGTTTATTAGGAAATCGGGGGATAATGAAATTTTGGGAATTAAATATATTAATACTAAAAATCATATTATTGATACATCAACTCAAATAGACGAGTGGTTTAAGATATATGTGAAAGATAAACTTTTAAACGAATTATCGGAATTTGCTGAAAAAGATTCGGGATTTGCGTTAAATAAAATTATTTCCTTAGTTGTTAATATCAGTAAATATCAATTGGGAAACGGTTCATCTTATATTAGACTACCAGAACCGATTATAAGGAAAAATGCTTGTATAAACATTAAAAATATAGATCAAAATTGCTTTTACTGGGCCATTGTAAGCGCTCTTCGGACTCCTAGCAAAAAAAGACATGCAGAACTAACCTCCTCATATCCACACTTTACTGACGTTTTACAAACAGAAAATTTAGATAGTCCTATGCTGCTAACAAAAATTTCAAAATTTGAAAAGATGAATAACATTTCAGTCAATGTTTACGCTTTAGAATTGATCGAAACAGAAAAAAAATCATTTTACATAGTAGTACCAGCAAGATTAACGGAAAATAAACGGGATACGCATGTTAATTTACTTTTAGCTCAAAATAAATATTATCCGCGTTTAAATGATTATGATGCTCCTCCACCAGCGCCAGCAAATGAAGATAATGATTCAATCGATGAAATTAAATATCACTATTGTTGGATTAAAAATCTTTCGCGTCTTATTAGTAGCCAGTTAAATAAACATCGTGAGAAAAAATTTATTTGCGATAGATGTCTGAACTATTTCCATCAGCAAAATAAATTAGTTGAACATGAAAAACTGTGTTCTAAATTTAATAAATATAAAATTAACCTTCCTAAAGAGAGCTGCGTTGAATTTAAAAACTTTACATACCAACAAAATACTCCTTTTGTTGTTTATGCAGATTTTGAATGTCAATTAGAAAATCATAAAGAAAGTAGCGTCGTAAATTTAACTAAAACCATAAAATATCAAAAACACGTTCCGTATAGTGCTGGTTTCTATGTAAAATGCAGCTATGATGATAGCCTTTCTTATTTCGAGAGCTTTCGAGGTGCAGATTGTATGGATTGGTTTGCAAATCGTATGGCTGGTGTTGCGCAATTTGTAAACTCAAAAATAAAAACAAGCGTACCTATGATTGAAAAATTAGACACATGTAAGGCAACATCATGTCATATTTGCGGTAAGAGATTTTCAAAAACAAAAAAAGACATAATCGTTAGAGATCACAACCATTTCAGTGGAGAGTTCAGAGGTTACGCGCACCAAGCATGCAATCTGAACTTTAGAAAATTGTTTGTTGTGCCGGTTATATTCCATAATTTAAGTGGGTACGATAGTCACTTTATGATTTCGAATTTATGTAAAAAAGGTCGCTTAAGTCTACTTCCCATCAACAAAGATAAATACATCTCCTTTACGCTGCACTCAGATGAAAATAACATTAAATTGCGGTTTATAGACTCTTTTCGATTTATGGGGGCGTCTCTTGATGAATTAGCTGCAATTTT